GTCTTTTTAATTATTTCTCTAATGCCAACCAAAGTTGTTCCCATTGTTTTTCCCCTCCCAAATTTTACTTTCCTTTTATAAGGAGAGATCCCTTTTTAAGGGTATTATAGAGATAGTAAATTGTAAATGGCATAAAACTGACAAATAAAGAGCAACTACTCACAGTTTTTAAGAATGCAAAAGTTAAGGAATCAAGTAAGATTATAAAGGGTCAAGTTTAAAGGGGATGCTTCTTCCCAAAGGTCAGTGAAGTAATGGAACGTTATGCCACAGACCACTTGGAGATCAGAAACACAGTCAGTGTGAAACACAGCACCCATCAGTCCACTGAAGACGAATCCAGCAAGACCCACGCGTTGCAGGGGCCCTGTGTGTGTGAGGCGGCCCCTGCGCTGCAGGGAGCGCCAGGGCCCTGGTGCTGCTCACACGGGGCATCTGCTACGGATCGCAGCCGCACGCAGCACGCCCAACGACACAGGCCTTTTTCCAGCTAATGCAACCATTCCTACCCATGGGAGCTAACCACTTGTCAAAACGATAACAGACTATGCATTCGCACAGTGGCACACTAACACCACCTGTTTTATTCTACATCTCTACCAGAAGTTCTCTGAAATTTTAGTTGCCTTTGTTGGCTACCTCAAGGTAATGCTTTCATAGCAGTAGGTGCAATGGTATTTTCTCTCACAAAGGTTACCTACAGGGTACTTATTTGTACAAGCCCCATGAAAAGATCTGAAATAAAAACAAAACAAACTTCTTTAACCATCACTGGTTGTCCTAAAGATCTGTGGAAATAACCTCACATAGAAGTTTCTAGTCAAAAATCCCTTGCTAGGTAAGTGGGTGTAGTAATTTTCTTACTTATGTACATTCTCTCACACACAGGGCTCCACTGCACCCCCCCCCCCCCCCTTTTTTTTTTTTTTTATTCCTCTAATAATAACATGAAAGCCCCATGCAATTCTGAAACTTTGGCTTTAATTAATCACCATATTAGCTATAAATATATATATATATATTTCCTCTAATAATTAAGAAATAGCTCAAGGGGTCCCTTGCCATAATTTCACTGGCAAAAGCCTCCTGTTATGCTAACCTACCTTTCCTTCGTTATCCATTTCCCTTTAGGAGGCCCTCGGCCGCCTACCAGCGCCGCGAGGCTCCTCCCCAGCCGCCCGGCTTCCCGAGAGCGCTCTGGGCCGCGGCTCCCC